TGTGCTGTGGGTGGGAAGAGTTGATAAAGTTGCAGGATGCCTGAACCAATACAGGCTAAAATGACAGCCACAAAACTTTGTAACCCAGTTGAGGCTTATTGTCAGTTATTTTTTTGAATGCTACCTTTCATTGCTTTTTTGAATTCTGCTTTTCTTCCTATTTCTGCCCAGTCTGAAATAAAAAAGAAAAACTGTTCTCTGAAGTTTTTGACCCCAGAACCTGTAGGTACTGGAAATTCACTGAAAAATCCTGCTTATCTTACATTTCCCACCTCATCTGATAGAACAAAGCATCATGATGTATTGCGAGGTTCACATTGACTTGCATTCTCATCCTACCTGAGATTTAGCTTTGACACTGGATGATGGTAGAAAGAATTGCTGCACATAGCAAAGCAGAAAGTGTTCACTATTTTAACTTTTAAAATATTTTGCTTTCTTTGTAAATTTGCAGAGGCAGAAGGTGCAATAATACAAACCTGTCTCAGATATGTGTAAAGGCAAACTGCCCATATGCTAGTAATCAATTGATCTGTCCAATTTTAGTCTTTTTCTGTTCATGCAGACTGTATGAACAGACTTTGATCGGTAGTGTTTTTTAGCCACTGTAATAAGATGTAATTTTGCAATCTGTAGTGTTTTGTAGCCACTGTAATAAGATGTAATTTTGCAATGAGTACCTATGGGTTGTTAAGTGAACTGTTCATTTCAGCTGTGTCTAAGACAACTACATGTTAAACTGTTCATTACTCATTATTCATGACTGACAGCCTAAACTACATGGTATTGTTTCTTCTCTGTGATTCAAATGACTATTCCATTTTAAATAGGTGAGCACCTTAGGGAATAAATGGTAAATCCTTTGTTTTCATGTCAAGTTGTTCTCAGGTCAACGACATGTTTGCAAATATTGTTTGGTATTATTCACCCTGTAAGAGCACTTGATAATACTGAACATATTTTTGTTACGGAGGAGTAATAGGTTACAAAATGAAGCTCTCCAGGGCTAATTTAGCCACTTGTGAGTGAAATAGAAACAAAACATTTTCAGCTATTATTTTTCATTAGAATGCTTAAAGTCTCTGTATCCATTACTCTGTCAAATGCAGCAAATGCTTAGCTCAAAGCATAGTTCTTAGTTGCATAAGATGTCTGCTTTCTGTAGGTATTTCTGGTGAGGAAGATCAAAGGATCTGATGCTGGGCAGCTTTATGCGATGAAGGTACTCAAGAAAGCAACTCTGAAAGGTAAGAATTAAACTATGAGGCTGATGGCCCCCTCTTTCTTGTACTATAAAATTTCCTTTACTGTAATTTTAGGAATTATTGCAATTCTATAGCATAATAGGAACTAAAAATGCCAAAAGCATGTTTCCTGTCACATTCTAAAATTCCACATCATTAGGAGCTGAACGAAGGCAACCAGGTGCCCAGGGCAGAGGGATGCACAAGGGCAGTGATGACTTCTGTTTTCTGCCATGCCACTAGCATGATTATGCGACTGTGGTGGCCCCTGATATTTTTCAGTTGTTCCCCTGGTCTCCCCAAGTCAGCGTCCTAGGTGGCTACCCAGGTTGCCCCATCCCGGTTACACTACTGAGCTGATCTTGATAAAGAGCAAAGGTAGGTAAACGGGGCCTGATTTTTTTTATTTTTTTATTTTTTTTTCCCCAAAGGGCATCAACCTGACCACCAAGTTTTCAGTGGACTATTGCCCTACAAATAACTTGAAGCACAGAATAACAGATGCAATTATTTGCAGATGCAAGTGAGGGAACATTTAGTAAACCATTTGGCAGCACCCACAAATCAACCGATAGGCCTGAGTTTATATTTGCCCTTCTGATTACATTCCATTCAGACTGATTTTAAGCACCAAATAGGAAGATGATCCTGAAACTTGGACCATTGCATTTTTATTAAAAAACAAGAATCTTTACTGTTGTTTCTGATGGCTTTAGGCATTTTTGAGAAAATCCACTATGCTGCTGTTGCTATCACCAGAAGGTATGGTTGCACTGTGTGTTCATAAGGAGTAAAATGCTTGTGCAAGCAAAGCTGTGCAATGATTGCTATGAAAAAAGATAACATTAAAGAGAAATAAACAGTGTTGTTCCCTCTATAATGCATGCAATAACTCAGGCTAAGTAGCAAAAAGAAATGTGGTTGCCTTTATGGAAAATGAAATGTTCTGCTGTTTTTTCATTTTATTCTTGTCATAACTGTTCAGATAGACTTCACTGAGTTGATTCAGTGTTATCTTTGTTGGCCGTACTATATGGGAGCCTGAGAATAGATAAGGAATTTGGTATTTGCTAGTTCTGCATCATTTCTTGGCTGTTTTTAATAAGGGTTATTTATAGGATCTCTGGGGCTTCTGTTATTTTGCATCTGTGTGGTGGCACTTTCTGTTGTTGAAATAAATTTAAATAAATGCAACTGTAAAAAGTAACTCTATTGGTTTTAAAAAAAGGCCCTCTGTCAAGGATTTCTCATTATGTAGATGAAGACCTATGGGACCAGACTTTCAGTTGACTAATAACTTTTGTGTGCTTCTGACAGTCTGCTTTACAGCTTGTGTGTGGACTTCAGTTGGGAGCAAGCCAAGAGAGGTGGGATGTTGGTCAGTCATCTAGAGCGGACTGTCAGCTAAAGTAGTCTCACTCAGACCATATGTAGTTCCCAGGTAGTGCAGTAAACATGACACCTTGGGTGGAAAAAGGGCTAGGTATTGCCAAGTCAGTTCGAGCTCCCCCCAGAAAGGTTCTGGCACCTAGCAGTATTTGATTAGCTACTTGTCCCAGCCAGACCTTCCTTCAGGTTGATAGTAAGAAATGTGTTTCCCCCTTCAACCTCACTCAACTGTGTTGGCTTAGCCCTGACAGCACTTGCAGATAAAGCAAGGCAAGACTGAATGAACTCACATCAGCTCCTCACCCTCTCCCTTTCTTTTTCAGTATGAGGTTGATATGTCCTATGCCATGCCCAGCCTAAGATGCTTTGGAGGGAACTAATTTTTAGAAAGTTGAGAACACTGAATGTAAAATCCTTCTTAAGTGTTCAACTGGAGAATCCAATGTCAGTGGTCAACCTAGAAAATTTCGTTGAAACTACCTATAGAGTAGTGGCTGATGACAGGGCACAAGCAGTTCTTTCAGATGCCAACCAAAACAGGTAAATGTAAAAGTAAGCAGCGCTCAGCCCTCTTTCCAGTGTCAGGCTTCTTTAAAAACAGTAATTTTAAAAACGATGAAGTAGCTGCTGATCTTTCATTCAATTTAGAAGTATATTCCTGCAAAATAGTATGGTGCCAATACCCACTTAAATGTCTCTGAAATGTATGAACATTAAAAACTGAGAGCGAGTGAGCACACAATCCCTATACTGGAACAAATCCTCAAGTCCTTTTATTTGTGTTTTAGTTGAACAACATTTTTAGTTTTGTGTGTGTGTTTCCTCACCCTTGTGGAAATTGCTGTCTGCCTTGCTCCAGGCACACAAGGCAGACACACCACTTATTTTTGTTTTGTACGAACCCTTCCTCTGAGGTAAGAACTGTGCTTTCTCACATCCTGCTACAGAAATGGCACATACTTTGATACTTGGAGGAGAAACAGCATCTGGTTTTGTCTCCTGCAACATACAGCAGCCTCACCACTGAATAGCCCGAATTAGTATTCTAGATCCCTGGAGAAAATGGTTAGTAAATGATACCAAATGTATTGTAAAAGATCTGTAAATTTAGCTCTTTTCACATAAATATGTCAAAGCTGAGATTATTTTAACCTCTGCAGAGGGGTTTGACCTAGAGTGGTGTCATACGTTCAATTTAACATTTTCTAAGTGCAACTAAAATGCAAGCAGACACATGGGATGTTGTCATATGTTACAGTTTGTATGTGCTAACTCTAGGAAATGTTATACAGTTTTGGAGTTAGAACTTGTTGTGAGCAGTTGCATGTTAAGGGTCAATATCCTCACTGGTGTGCCTAGCTCTGACTTGCTGCTAGACAGCTAGTAAGCAGGGTTGTGGCTAGGAGCTGCCAAGTATGTCTGTAACTCCCCAGCTCTCTTGTGGCTCTCCCAGCTCCCCTGCAGATACCAGCAACTCAACTCAACCTGGCCCCAGCTCTCCTGTGGATGCCCAGCTCTCTGGTTCTCTGTCAGTCTGGGACAGTAGGTCATCCATGTGGGGAGAGCTGGGAGCAGTGCATCTTGGGCTGCGGGAGGACTGCAAACTGTTCATATTGGCCCCATGAACCAGACTGATGTTACTGCAATATAAGCTCCCTAATACCAGCCAGAGAGATTCTTCACTTAAAAAAGGTGTTACTCTGAGATACTCAGAGCCCACCTAACTCATCATTTTCTGCCCTGTCACATGGACACTCCCATCTTAAGAGTTGGGTTTTTTTTAAGGACATTTTTTTGTGTTCCAAGTAAAATCAGTCAAATCAATTCCAACTCCATGAGTCATTCAAGAACCAAATGTGTCCCTACTACCAGCAAACATCCTCCACCCCAACCTGGGGCTTCAGATGCTTCCAAATCCTTTGGCAGGCATTCTACGTGCAGACCCAAGCCCAGAAGCTTGGGGTTCGGATGTCCCTGAGTTGGCTTGCCCTCAGCCATGTGGCTGCAGGAGCAAGCTAATGAGGAGTCTCCCATTTCTATAAAGTCAGCATGTAGCCGAGATCCTCCCACTGGAAGCTGGTTAGTGGGTAGCTAACTATGAGGCTCTCATAGGGAGTTCTGTCCTCAAGCAGACAAGGATGCAGCCCTCCACTACACGGTGCCAAAGGATGCAATCCTCCACTACACAGTGCCATTTTAATTGCATTACCTTGGTCAGGGTATTTCCCCTGCCACCATAGTGGTCATGATATTTCCCCTGCTGTCTCAAGAATTATTTAGCACACAGGAAGGGTAAAATATAATAACATCCATGTTCAAGCAGTTCAGCATGTGTTAAGTGCCCTCCTGAAGTTTCCTTTCAGCGGAGGGTTATATCCTAAGAGGTACTGACGTTTAACTGCATTCTAGTTATTTGTACCTGTTGCAAGTGAATGTGTGAAAAGGCCCCTGCAGTCCTTCAGAACCTTGCCAAGTGTCCTATCTTCCTACCATACCATAATACTCTCTGCTACCTCAAATGCTTGTGATTTTCCTCCTGCTGCATGTACCGTGGCATCCCCTTTTCCTTCTCTTTTCTTACACTGGTTGCAAGGTGCTCAAGCTGTAAGTATGCTGAGATCTCTCCTGAATCCAGTTTCTGCCATGCTCAGGTTGGTAACACACTCAATTCCAATCACAGAGTTCATCTTCATCAACTTTTGTACCACAAATTAAGTAACTGCAGATTAACTCAAGGTAGTTGATTATATTTGCAAAATGAGTGTGGATGCTACAAAGTTTTTGATTCAGGCTACAAACTTTTGTTCATTACCATAGGGATCCACATAAGGCAATGAATAAATGTTTGTAGTTTGGATCAAACATATGGGGATGTCAATAGTATCTTCTGTAAATATGCTAACTTGACAGCCACTTTACCTGAGGAACAAGAATGAACACAATCCCAGGGTCATGGGGGAAAAAGAAAATTAAAAAAGAGCAAGAGTGGAAGTTCCTGTCAATGAGACTCCATGCAATTTTGGCATCAAGGTTAATAGTTTTGACAGCTTTATTTGATCTTTAAAAGAGGGTTTGATCATCCCTGCCCACCGACACTGTGCACAGCTGGGAATCGCTTCAACTTGAAGTGATTTCTGTCCCTATCCCTGGAGCTTAAGGTATGGTTATGATGTTAACTGTACAGATGACACCAATGGAATGTATAGATGCCACGAGACCATATAAATTCCACAGAGAATCCAGGATGTTCTTAGTCATGATACTCATAACTATTAACGTCCAAATTTTGAACAACTGAGCTTAAAAAACTAAGTCCCTTGCAGTAGATGCCACCCAAGACACTGTGTATCAAGTAACTGGGTTTTCCATTCTAAGCCCCAAATCCAACCCCTCTTTAGGCAGCTATATATCTAAATTCAGACACACAAGTGGCAGCCAGTGCCACTTACACAGAATGTATACTCTGTAATACAGGGGAGAAGGTGGAGCAGGTCCTTCTCCCTTTTTAGCCTAATAGCTAACTGGCTGGGGCACCTGTGTGCTCAGAAGGACAAATCTAATTATGCCGGGGGAGTAAGTAAAATCTAAACAGGTGACCCTAAATTTCACTTATG